TTATTTTTCAGACTACTTTTTACTTCTACTTCTTACATTTTAATTCAATTATCTGTACTTTCTACTACTTACTTTTTAAAAATGCAAAAAGCATTACATTTCTATTTAACTTTGACTTGTTTATATTCCATCTTTTCATTGTTCAGAAAAAAATTAATACATATAAATCTATCCAGACACATGGAGCCCATGGATAGAGTGAATTTGATTGTGGTTGATGAGAAGTGTAAATATAAGTGTAAAAAGTGTAAATATAAACCATTCTGGCATCCTATTGGATTGAACTCACTCCATCACACCTGTGTAGTAGTTTCCCTTCACTGCTACGTCTAGAAGTTCTCCCACAGACAAGGATTTCTTTGGGAGAATTTTCGTCTGGGCCAATYASAGAACAGAACRTTGATTTTCTGCGCAGTGTCTCTTGTAGTTTATTTTACCTGGGCCARTCAGCAAACAGAAGGCMGAGTTTTGAACGACRTCGATTTTCTGCGCAGTGTCTGCWAGTTATTTTATCAACGGCAGTGGAGGAAGTGAATGAAGCCAGTCCGTGTTGATAGGGCTTCCAAATTAAATWAAATTTGTCTGACAAAGCAGCAGCTCTCATTTACAGTCGTCTCGTTTAGCTCGGTACTTCTCTCCTCTCAGTAGGGTTTTTTACAGCACACGCAATTTCTTGTTAGCTTCTTAGCCTAGCCTCCGTCACAGCGACATACGTCGTGGCCAACAAATCCAATCATTTTAAACTTCAGCAGAGGCCACGCCTCCTGCAAGAATCGCTTCTCTATAGCTGCGAGTCCAGACCCTCGTACAAAACAAAGTGAAGGACAAGGGTCTGGTTTAGTCTAGTCAGTTAATTCCAAAAATTTCAACATTTTAATTTAACATTATACTCATTATTAACTTTAGAAGAAACATTGTGTGTGTGTGTGTTTTTACTTGAGTAAAAAGCTCGAGCTGATACTTCTACTTCCAAAAAAGTATTTTTAAACCCTAGTATCCATACCTCTGCTTAAGAAATGAATGTGAATACTTTTGACACCTCTGTCTTTTTAATTGTTTAGGATTGTTGACAAACCGTCAGCAGCTGCTGCCTGTTTTACTAAACTGCTGTGACCGAGTTGTGTGTTCATTTGAGATTTGCTCCYGTTTCATTGTTTCTATGAGCAGACTCGTTTTCATTCACATTTCTGTTGATGCGTTTTCGAGAGCCACTTCATTGAAAATAGAATCAAACTCATACATCCAAGTTTTTCCCGTGACCCCTTAAGTGCCCGTGACACGCATGTCCTTCAAATATGAAAAGTCAAAGAAAACATTTTTATACTTAAACTGGCATAGTACACATGATTTTACCCATTTTGTCAAATAACTAGCATATTTTCTTTTGGATTTCGGCTCAGCCAAAGTGAAACAGGAAGTGACATCAAAGGGGAGCTCATTAATAAAATAAACTCACTAGTCTCTGTTTATTAAAACTAAATTATTTAAACTTTAACTCTTCTTTGTTTCTCTGATAGCGACTAATAATAATTTAAAGAAACATCAGATTCTTCTCTAGTCTGTTGTTTTTGTAACAACGCTCTCTTTACAAGCCGACACTCTCSTTTGACATCACTTCCTGTTTCTTCACATGTGAATATYTCAACAACCGTTCATCTCAGTGACATGAAATTTATTTTGCAGTATGTTATCAATGTTATCTTTCCAAAARTGSTGTTTATTACAAAAATTTGATGTCACGGGCATTTTAAATAGGTACGCTTACATGAAGAACATTATTTTATCTGCCTCTCTTCCAAATTTGGTTATGATCTGAAAGCATGTGCTTTTTGCTGCAGAATAACGATATTACTACACAGCAACGTGTGTTGACAATCGTCGCATTTCGCACTCAGTTAAGGAGCTTTGTTTACAAAACGAATGTCCACGTTTTTTAAACGAGATCCATTTCACGTTATTCCAAGACCCATGGATTTGATTTGATGTTGCAGTTTGGTGACATGAGCCTTGTAACGTGATTTTATTCATTTTCTGCTACGTTTACATTGGATTTTAAAATGTTTTCATTGTTTTTAGGATACAAGACGCCTCCTACAAAAAACAGAACGTGAAACTTTTCCTAAAATTTCATGTAAATATCTTAAAACATTTAGGACGTCATAAGCAAGTAACTACAAACCCTTTCAGTGCACAAATATGGTGGAGATTTAACTGATGGGTGTGGAGCTCACAGTATCGATAAGTCCATTATGTTCTCCACAGCACTGATGGAGGAACTCGGCATCACCTTCCAGCTGTCCGGAACTTTCTTCTTCCTGGAGACCACAGCTGGACCTTCATCAGATGACAGGAACAAGGACATAAATTATGTAAATAATGGCAAATCAGGAAAGTTACTTTACTTCGTTTGAAAAAGCAGAGCTAACCTTCTTTACGCTGTTTTGAGTGCGCGGTTTTGTCACTTTGTCCAGCTTGGTTCTGAAAACACACAAAAACAGTTCACAGGACTGAAMAGCTCAACACCCGGAGAGAGTGGTTGTCTTACCTCATCTGAAGTTTCTCCTGCTGGCCTTTTTGCTTTCTTTGCGTTTTTAGGGTTGGGCSCTTTTGATGAGGGTCTTTTGGAACCCCGTGCAGGTTTCATGTTATTTTTACTAGCTAGCTAAGTCACAGAACTGTGTTGATGTTAGCTAGCTTAATGACACGACTCACTAAACTTTGAACTTAACAGTAAGCGGGAAGAAATAAGATGCAATTAAAGTGCTAAGAAAATAGAAGCGAAATAAAAGGGGTAAATAAATTTTAAAAAAAGTTTGTTGACAGGAGACCTGCTTTTTCGCGCTGTTGCGTTTGAAGCTCATMGCGCATGCGTCAACTTGTTTCGGAACAATGCGCATGCGTCAACTTGTTTCGGAACAATGCGCATGCGTACTAGCTGTTTACTTTACTCCGGGTCATTGCTTGTCAGGAAGTAGATGACCAAACAGATCATATTCACGCAATAATTTTAGAAGAATTCATCCCGTAACTCATAAAAAATTTATATATCTCCCGTAAAATTACATTAAAAGTCCAGTTTGTTAATAAGACATATAAAAAAGATACCTGTAAGACCAGACGCAGGGCAAAATGCAGCAAAAACACAGCAATAACTTACTGTAGGAACCTTTATTTTAGTACTTATTTTTAATGTCTTATTAGACCTTCCTGTGCATTGGTAATCATTTTTTAGAGACTACCTATCCTTTTAATAATCTGTGTGGTTGTTTAGATATAAATTGTATTCTGTACATAAAGTATGATCATTTCTTTGCTTATGTTTTCATTTCTCTAATGCTTGTTAATCTTATTTGTGCAAAGGACAAGAAAGACAACCTAAATCTGTGAACCTTTTGTTTTCTACAAAAGAGGCTAATTGTTAATGAATGAATGATGAAATGTTTGTGAATAATTTGTAGGTTGTGTACACCTTTAAAAACTTTGTAAGTCAGCCCTAGTGTAAAGAAAACAGGAAAATAAGAAAACACTTTTAACTATATCTGTTGTATATACAATATGTAAAACCTAATATTTCCATGTTTTTAAAGATAACCTTGTATTTTACAGCTATGTGGATTATAAATTTAAACAGCCATTGTGTTGTGAATGCACTACTAGTTTTCACCAAGTTCACATTTTTATTCTAAGAGTTCAATAATGACAAAAAAATGTCTTTTTTTTTTCCTTAGCAGCAGAAAAATTCAAATGTTTATTCAACAAAATGTGACAATGAAACAAAGAGCACTGGATGAAGAAATGTCCCTCCGGTTTGTCACACCCTCTCCGGGTAGAAAAATTTGCCTGTGTAGCGTCCTTGGAAATGCAGGTCCTTGGGACTGACAAGATTTCTGATGCCCAACATGTTGCCCTGCACGATCCTCTTATAGGTCCAGGGGTTCTGGTTGTTCTGCTCCCTCTCCTGCTGCTCCCTCTGCATCTCTGCAAGACTCTCCTTGCTCACCACCTAACAAAACAAAACAGGGAAAAAGCATGAAAACACGACACTTCCTGACGGTTCAAATATGAGCCACTGAGTAGAAACTATCAATACTGTGTCAGTTTGTAAGCATAAACTCCATCTGTGATCTCACCTGGGCGGGGAAAGGCAGCTTCTTCGCCACTTGCGTCAGGAAATGTTCAACTTCGCCCAGCTCGACTCTTCCTCCCACCTCCACGATCAGACGTCCGCATTTAACCGGGGTCACGTAGCGGTCGATGGGTCCTTTCCCCCCGCCCATGCGGTGACCCAGGCTTTTACGAGTGATGGGCTTATACGGAGCACTCACGCGCCACAGGGCGAACATGGTCTTTTCGTCAATGTTGCGGTTAATGGTCAGGCGGATCATCTCAAAGTGACCCCAGTGCAAGTAGCCACCACCCATTGCCTGAGCATCAGGAGGAGAGGGAAACAGTTAGACGAGACATTTTCTCTGGAGAGGGGGAAAAAAAAGCAACAATTGAGATCATTTTTATTTCCGTACGTTTTTCAGCATCTAACTCGTTCCACAATTTTTGTGTTATTTCGACAATTCATGCATCAAAACGTTCAGCTCATTTCTGCCAAGCGTGCTATGATTTTTGGTATTTCAGCAATTTATACTTTTTCAGCTATTTCACTTTTTTAGCCACTTTTTTCCAATTGAAAATGAACGGAGGTGTTTTCAACATGCTTAAAAGCCTTCAAAATGTTTCTAAATCTTTACACAATTTACTCTGGTTCTGCTGTTTTTCACTTTCTTGTGCTAATTTTAGTTTTTTTCTGCTACTTCAGCGAAATTTCTGCTTCTTTCTGCTATTCTTCTGATTTTTTTCTACATTTTTCTGCTACTTTGTGCTATTTATGCTTCTTAGATACTTTTTTCTATATTCAGCTATTTTCTGCAATTTTAGCTAGAGTTCAGCTGCTGTCAGCAGTTTTAAGCTAAATACACAGTTTTTGTAGCTATTACAACGTATTTCCGCTAAGTTCAGCAACCTTATGCTAATTAAAATTCTAGCTACATTTTAGCTGTTTTACTGAAAATTTCAACTGTTTTTGCCTTTTTAATACAAACTGACACATTTTTGGACTCTTATGCATTTTTTTCTGCTAATTTAAAACATTTATTACACAACTTTCACTATCTGGGTGTTAAATACAACTTGTGGCTGCTACCTTTAGCTTATTTTTGTGCTGATTTTAGCTTTTTTTATTCTTTTTCAGCTTTAGATCTGCTTCTTTCTGCTATTATTCTGATGTTTTCTTCTTTGTGGTTTTTTTTCTGCAAATTTGGGCTATTTAAGCTTCTCAGATGTTTTCAGCTATATTCAGCTATTTTAGCTGTTTTCTGTTGCTTTCAACTAGATTTGTGCTCCTTTTCAGAGTTTTTCTGCAAAGTTAGGCTTTTTTTTTTTTTTTGCTTTCAGCTTCTCAAAGTGAGCTCACATTTACAATTTTGATTTCAGCAGCTTTCAGCTCATGTTTTCAGCATGAAGCATTCAAACTAGCCTTTTCCCTAAGGAAATGCTATTTCTCTAGTTAACTTAGCTTTAAGAGATAAGACTTTATTGATCCCACAGTGGGGGAAATTTGGGAAATTTTACTTCAGTTATTGACGACTTCAGTAGGTGTAAATGCACTCACAAGAATGCCGTACAGCCCAGTGGTGAAGGAGGTTCCAGTCTTTGTAGGGCCTTGGATGTCTCGCAGCTTCTTCGGCTCTTTCTTGGCCTTTATCAAATTAGGCACTTTGTTCATAATCTTCAGTTTGGGTTTTTCTGGCAGCACCACACCTGCGATAAAGGAAATAAGCACCAAGAGTCATAAAAAACATAAATCAACACGACGCAGCATCAGGTTAAAATGTTGAATTTAGATTTAATTAATTCAAAGACTACTAATTCTCTGAAGGGCAAAAATAACCCTGGACAAAGCACAACTGATGATGCAGTCAAAACAGAAGCACATGGGTTTATGCAACTGGTAAAGAAAGGAAAAAAAAGTCACATAAATTTACCAGTGAAGTCTGGGGGGACGCTAGATATTTTAATCCCAGCAGTGAGGACTTTCAAGTAGCTCTGCAAAGGAGCTGTGAAGAAAACAAAAAAAGTAACACATTTAAGAACATAAACTTACGCAAAACTGTCTCTAATGTTGCTCAACGTGTTTAAAATCAAAGCTGAAAACATGTTTCTAGTCCTATGAGACGAAGCTCATCTTAACTTTTATGTCAGGGTAAAACTTATTTTCTGATTCGTTCATTCATTTTTCAGTTCATCAGTTTCAGTTCAGCTCATCATTGTTTTCATGATTTCTAGTTTTGTGTCAGAAAAAAGCCTTAGATATGACCAATTGTATGTTTGGCAACAAAAAAACAAAAACAAACAAACAAAAACAATTTAACTTTTAAAGTTAACATTGTTAAACTGGTCCTGGAACTCCCAATTTAGGTACTTTTTTCACTCCCTCCTCCACGTCGTATGAACGTAACGTTAGCATTAGCATATTTAGCTATCTATATACCTTGCTGGTGACCGTTGGCTCTGCAAGCTCCTGCCAGTCCGCCGACCGCAGTCTTAACGAGAGAAAACATAATGTTCAAACTTAAATAAACAATTTAAATTCTTAATTGTCACCTACTGTTGCCCGATGACGGGCATTAAAAAAGGTATGATTAAATATCTAATAGTCTAAGGTCGCTGCAAAGATGCTTGAGGCTAACTTCCGCCAGACGACAAGCTACTTCCTGTTGGGGCGATTTTTCACAATAAGATACAATTTTGAGAGAACACTAAGTATACTAATTTTTGATGTATTTTGAACTTACGGCTGAATATTTTTGCTTACAATTGCAAAGCAAAGTGGACAAACGTGTCTGAGTTACACTAACAATGAGAACAAGTTAATTTATCAGGAAAAAGAAAATAATTTTGAGCTTTTGTTGTTTTTTTTCAGTAAACGTGATAACATGCAACCCAAAATTTACCTAAATTAATGTTTATGGCATATTTGTAAGAGGTTTAAATTTTTATGCAATCACATATTTTACATCACATATCTTTATTTAATTGGGTATTACTCTGTGGAAATTTTATTTCACTTTGACATCAAATATTTTGGTATAACAATTTTAGTTAAAAAAAAGCCCAATTTATATCGACCTTGACTTATTTATAACRGCAATAAAAGTATAGAATTATCAAAAGGGTGAATAGTTTCATCGCACTGTACACAGACTCAACAAAAGATGTCTGCCAAGAAAAAATAATGAACTCAAAATCCTTTCATGGCAACTGATCAAGAAACAGTCTTCAAGAAAAAATATAAATCTGATTTATTAGATTTTTTTACATTAGACAATGTGTTCAAACAATAATAATTTGCAGTTTTTTCTGTGGGAAAATAAAAAAATAAGTCTTTGTTTCAACAAATTTATTAAAGCCTATCTGCAGGCTCTAACCCTTAGAAGCCAAAAAGAGTAATTCACTTGATATTTTGTTATCAATAATATTAATAAAAACTGTCTCTAAATCGGAGACATATTGGTTGTACATCAAAATATCTCTAGCCAAAACAAGCTCTTTCATTAACCTCTTTAATTTTCACAGATAGTCCACCAGGTTTTAAATCCCATGGTACAGGAGGTCGTATTTTGGAATATTCTTAGGGTCGATGGGACTCTGGACAATCATTTTCCCCCTCATGGCTCCTCTGTAAATCACCTCAATCAGGTCTATGAAATCCTGCTTGGTTCTGAAGCTGCCGACGAACTTTGTGTGATCTGGAGAGCTGAAAAAAGAATCGATGTCAGGTGATTAGATTAAGTCTGACTACATGGGCTACTTTTAGGACAAAACAAGCAACATGGGACACCTAGATAAAAGTCACATTGTTTAGATCACTTGTTGAACTATAACAATAAAGATGAATAGCCTACAAATGTGCAAAATTCCTGTCCTTCAATAGAAAAAAAGCATAAAGCACCTACTGATTCCTAAATCTTCCTGCATTCTTCACATCAGTATTATACTCAAACTGTGTAGTTTTTCCCAGTGTTGTATAAAGTACCACAAAGTGATACATGAGTAAAAGTACAAGTATATTACCAAAAAGTTACTGTGGTAAAAGTTAAAGTCTCCTTTAGGAATATTACTTGAGTAAAAGTCTTAAAGTATCTGATATTTTTGTACTTAAGTATTAAAAGTAAAAGTATTGATTTAAAATGAGCAGTTAGATTTTCTGTAAGGACATTTATTAGGAGGTGACCTCCCCAAAAAATGCAGAAATGACTGTTGTATTAAAATAATTAATTGATGYTAAATTTAGGATGCACTAGTTGCACTCGTCTGTTTCAGATTATATTCATATATCAAGGCTGCCCAAAGTTTTCTCCAAAATGAAAATCTGAGGGCTGCGGGCAAATGCAATAATATAATGCATGAAATACAAATACTTCTTAAGTACAGTACTTTTATTTTAATGATTACGTCCTGCTGGAGTGTGACATGATTTCTCTAAATGCGAACACACAGTTACTTCATTACACAATATTAATAATCACGTTTAAAGACAGACTGGGTGAAGAGTTGTTGAAGGTATTTGAGGATGTCAGCTCGGACTTGGCTGTGGCGGAGTGGTTAGGGGAGTCGTCCTGGAACTGGAATGTCGCTGGTTCGATCCCCCGTCCAGCCGTCTCAGTCGTTGTGTCCTTGGGCACTTCACCCACCTTGCCTACTGATGGTGGTCAGAGGGTCCGATGGCGCCTGTGCATGGCAGCCCCACCTCTGTCAGTGTGCCCCAGGGCAGCTGTGGCTACAGTGTAGTTTGCCATCATCAGTGTGTGAATGTGAGTGTGAATGGGTGAATGTCTGTTAGTGTAAAGCGCTTTGGGGTCYGGAGGGACTTGAAAAGCGCTCTATAAGTTCAGTACCATTTACCATGATTTGTTTGTGTACAAACTAATACGCTATCAGAATTTTATATATCTATACTTCTCATTCAACCACAATCAAATTCACTATCTAAGAGGCACAATTTATATGGATAGTATTTATTTTTTTACAACAACAAGCTGGAATGGAAACAAGCAAAAATGAAATAGAAGTAACGACTTTCTACTTCCTGCTTTTTTTTCTTCAATGCAAGGAGTAGAAAGTACAGATAATTGTGTGAAAATGTAAGAAGTAGAAGTAAAAAGTAGGCTGAAAAATAATTACTCAAGTAAAGTACAGATACACAAAAATTCTACTTAAGTACAGTAACAAAGTACTTGTACTTATTTCCTTTACAACTCCGGTTTCTCATTCATCTGAAACAATTTAATTTATTAATAAACCTGCACTCACCCATATGTAAACAAGGAGGGAAGCACCTGGATTGTGACTTGGAGGACGTGACTCGAAGGTCAACTGGTAGATTACTAAACCAATGTGAAATAATCTAGAGATTCCCTATTACAAGTACTCAGGTAGGTCTGGCTCCAGAATGACAAAAGCAGAAATAGTTTACAAAATATATTTTATTCATTTTTCTCAGTATTTAAATTAACTTGTTCACAAGATATTACAAAGGATGGGTAGTTCTGGAGGAATGGAACTGCAACAGTTCTAAAGTGCTTATTCTAAAYCTTAGCACCACCAGGCACTCACCTGAACCGAGAAAATCACTAAGCAACTACATGAAAGTAGTGAGGTACAATGAACGTTTCGAATAAAATGCATACAAAGGGTGAGAGCACAACATTACAACAGGAGCAATCTTCTGTAGACAAAATAACCATTAGTAAAGATGACAGTCAACAATGCAAACCATTAAAGATACAAAAATAAAATGTAAAGAAAAACAGACAAGTACCTTAATCAGTCACAGCCCCCCAAACATGTGGATTAACAGCTCCAATGCCACCCGCAACACAAAGGCGCATATCCTGAAAACAAGTAAATATTTAGCGAGTGTCTAGCAAACATTTACCCCTTATAAAAACAAAGCAGCAACAACGTGCAGAGAAACCACGGCCGTAATCAGACATCCAAAGGACGCCAAAAAGTTAGCAACATTGAACCCACAAACAGCCGCACATAATAATCAAAACACATTTACCTCAAAAAACATCCTCACGAAGCCTGACCGGTTGCAAAACGTTGGTTACGTATTGTAACCCCAGATTCTATGAGTGTAAGCGCAGCCCTCTATCGCAGATGGGTACCCCCGTGCGCGTACGCGCA